GGGACTGAGAAATATTATTTTCTACTTTTTAGTCCATTTATAAAAGCGTTGTATATTAAAAAGTTTTTTTTTTATATTATTTATTTTCTACTTTTTTGTCTTGTCTGTATAAAATTTTGCGATAGATATTAAAATAATTCAACGATATTAATAGAAAGGTGCACACACATGCATTTACATATATATGTACATACAAACGAGCACCAATTAATTTTATTTAAAGAAATGGCGTGTCGTCTATTTCCGCTGTAGCGAACGTAGTACATAGGGCGACATCTAGATGTGATCTACCACGCCCTATTCACTACAGATGTCGCCCTATGCACTAGACTTTTTATAGGAACTTTTAAAGAAATGGCGTGTCGTCTATTTCCGCTGTAGCGAACGTAGTACATAGGGCGACATCTAGATGTCATCTACCTCGCCCTATTCACTACAGATGTCGCCCTATGCACTAGACTTTTTTATAGGAACTTTGCAAAGCAAATGTTTTATGGTGTCGGACACACAACATTGAAAGTTTCTGGATCCACAACATTGAAAGTTTCTGGAGCCACAACATTGCAAGTTGATAAAAGCGTTGTAACGTTGTAAATAGTAAACTTTTTAGAAATTTTAAGAAAATCCGCAGAGACTAAATATTGCACACGCGGACACAATTGGAAATACACCCCGTTTGGAATATGTTTACTCCAAATATTGAAACTTATTTGTTAAAAGTTGTGAATTATTTGTCAATTCACACTTTTAATCATGACACAATAATTTTTAGAGGGTAGTTTCACATCTTCTTCTTATCCGTCATGTTAGCTATCTGACAGAAATCGTGTTTCGTATTTTTTGTGGTACCTATTAAAAAAAAAAATCAAGTTTTTGACGCGGATACAGCTATAGGAGCCACCGCACAACACAGACTTTATCATTTTCCAATTTAGCTGGGGCTCGCTTGAAATATGTACGTGAAGATTTATGGAGTTGCGCACACTACACCAACTTAATCGCTTAGACTAATTAGTTGAGGTGCAAAGGAAAGACTAGCGAGGCCAAATAAATCGGCGGCCGATAAAGTCTGTAGTGTGCGGTGGGTCTAAAATATTTTAAATAAAATATCGCTGTCGCATTTTCGCTTATATGAACTTTATTCATTTGATTAGCAGTGGCAAGAATGTACATATGCATTAAATACGTATATGTATGGCGAGCTTCGTCTCACCCAAAATTAATTTTTTATTTGATCATTTTGGTACAACATTTTCATAAACTATTCACTTAACGACTTCTAGTATAAGGTGACTAGAATTTTTTAACATTCCAGGAGGACAAATTCTCCACATTAAATACACAAAAAATTTTTTATATTTATTTTAACACATAAATAACGAATAAATTAACAATTCAAAGTTTCTCTAAACACAAGTCAAACAAGTTAATAGTACACTGGATCATGAAAAAATTAACGGAACTCCTAAATATTTATATGAGAATTGAAGCCGGTTGTGTTTTTTTATGCTTAAAAATTACTTTTTAAATTATCTAATTGTAATTGTATTACTTGCAAAAGAAATTGCTTTCGTTCTTCGCCTTTCGCCAAAGTTCGATTATAATTTTGTTATCAACGCTATACCTCGTTCAGCAATATATTAACATATTTAATACTTTTAATCGCCTCTAAGACAGCCAACTTCAGGACAGTTTTTTAGAGAAGTTAATGCCCTACAAGAATATGTCTAGAAAACCCGTTATCCCTTTTTTATAACTTTTCTTAATGGTTCCAAAGTTATAACATTTTTAATGAAAACAAATTTTTTACATGTTATTTACGGGTGAAAATTTCTCAACTGGATCATAATTTGGGCCAAAATGCAGTGTTTGAAATGTACCCCTTCCTAAAACGTTTTTGGGTAATTTTGACCCACTAATAGAAATTAGGCAATTTTAAGAAAAAAAACGATATTTCAATATGAATTCAGTTAACTATGTCGCTTATTAAGTGTATGATGAAATCCACGAAAATGTAAATTTTGATTTAGTACTCTATACCAGGGTTGTTGCGAATATTCGCATTCGGATTCGCAACCGCGGAGCTTCCGCATTAATTTTAACATTCGCATTCGCTTTCGCATTCGCAATAATCAATGCGGAGCTTTTGCAAGTGCGAATGTTGTGCAAGTGCGCCGATAAAACGAATATATGGCAAACAAAATGACAAATTGTGGGCAATTATTTTTTTCTGTGGTCGTGGGAGTATTTGTGTAACAAAACTGGTCAAATGACATATTTATCAGCTTTGATAAAAATGTCTTTAAGCATATTATTTCCTAAGCTATACAACCGAGCTATCAATGGGCAGTCTTACGTGAAAGAGAGCATAGTCATTTTAGTAATAATTTTTTTGTTTTCTGTTTTGCTATTTAAAGTCAAAGAGTAAGCTCCTTCAATGCGGATTTCCTGCAGAAATGATCAGCGTCTAGATACAAAGAGAATCGATGCTCAAATAATTAAAAAGCCTTAGGTCTGACTTTTAATTAAGTAAGAATTACGTTCCTATCTGAGACCCTCATCATCCGCGATACCAATAATTCAAATACTTACATATAAAAAATCGGGGTGCTTTTTTAAAAAACTAATCCGATTCGGCTGGTAGCCACGACTTTGAAAACAGAATTTTGTTCAAAAATTTCATTCCTGGAAAATAATAATTTTTTTCCCATATCCACCTATTTAGCTCGCTATAAGCACAAATTTTTCAAACCAGTCGCAGAATAATGTAATAAAATGAATTACGTTACAGGTTCTGAAACAGCCAAAGGAATGAGAATCAATAATTCTTTTTAAAAAGCTTTAGAAGAACCTGACACATCTGGTTTGGCTTGTAAGCGCCGTTTTAACAACGATCTCGCCATTATGCTATATTCTTCAAGTAAAGATGAAAGTCAGGAGGATACATCCGACATTTTCAGCCCCGATGCAATTCTCATTACTTTTTATTAAATATAATGTTCCCACTTTTTAAATTCAAGTACTAAATAAAAATAAACATTATTAAAAATTCGTAACTTTCCATTTTTTATTTACCTAAATAACTTAATTTAGTTACCTTATTATTTCTTAAAAATACTTGACATTCGCATTCGTATCCGCATTCGCGGATGTTAGCTGTTAGACATCCGCATCCTCATTCGCATCCGCGGATGTCTAAAATTCCACATTCGCAACATCCCTACTCTATACATACATATGTATACATATCTAAGTAAATAGTTGCTAAATAATTGAAATTGATTTTAGACAGCGCCAACGGTGGCAGTGCAGTAGCCGCATGAGCATCGGCATTGGTTTTTTTGTCGATTCTTGGTGGGTTATAATCGTTAATAATTATTTGAACTTTCCTTTCATATGAACCGGCTAGTTACCAAAAGCAATAAGTAGGCATTTTTCCGATATGGCAATTTTGATGGAGTCGGATCCTTTTTAGGGATATTTATCGTAGGAATTAAGAAAAAGAATAAGCCAATTCATTAGAGTGTCCGATTTAGGCACTGAGTTTTTCGTTTATTTACAAAGTTGACCGGTTCACTTTTCACTTTTTATTCCCGTTTATTTCATAGATGGCGTTGATGTCAGCTTTTGTCCTTACAAGGACATCAACCAGCCGGACAGAGACACCTTCCCCATTAAGGGTCCGATAATTCCCGGCGCATTCCCTCAAATCATCGCAGTCCTTTAAACGTTTACCGTGGTCGTCATCAAAAAGGGGGGTCTCATCCGATGCTTTGTCTATTTCCTTCAGTGGAACCGACTTTTCGTGGCGGGTTCCAAACCCAGCGCACAAGCCATTGCTGGGAAGCTTTCATATATATTTTTTCCTTTAATTTGATGTGCATGTAAAAATTAGAATGCATTTAAAATCCTTTGGGGGTAATTATGATGTAATTTTTAAAATTATTATGTATGTGCGTTTCAAATGATGCTAATTTTTAGAAAAAGTAGCACTCGCATCTCAATGGGTTAATTTGTTTGTTTGGCACTATAACTACAAGAGAGTTCAGGCTGGTTTCCACTTCTACCTTGTTAAACATGCCTTAGATTTGCCCTTAGAAAAATATCTTTATGCTCGCACTATTATTTGGACGTCTTTTAATGTGCCCCGATCATGTGTTTTTAAACGATATGCATTTGAATCTGTAAATCAGGGATCGGGGGTGAAAACTGTCATGGAAAATTTCACTATGAAGGAAACGTTCTACAGCAAAGTGATACATTCCAATCGATTTCTTTTTTCACTGAGACTCAAATTTGAAAATAAATTTTTATTTTAAATTTTTATGCAAAATTAAAAGAAAATAACAACTATTTTTGATTTTAATATTATAAATCCAAAAGAGCAATTATTTTTAATTTTTATATTTTATGTCTTAGATATGCAGAATTATTTAGATAAAAACCAAAAATAATTGTTATTTTGGATTTATAAAATAAAAGTTAGAAATAAAGGTTGTTTAAGGAGTAATTAAATGAAAGTCAAAAAATAATTGTTAAAGAGCGATTTTTTAAATAAAAGTTGTAACTGTTACGGTCCCTGCTCTAAATGGGACTTTCTCCATACACACATATGAATGTAATTGCATCTGTTTGTCAAATTCACAGTATTTAATTAACTATTTAAAATTGATTTCTTTAAATCGCTTAGAAAGTAGCATCATGTAAATGCTGCTTAAGAACACTTTAAGTGCCTTTGTTGTGGCAACATATATCAAAAGAGAAAATGATTTTCTCAGTCAAAATTCAAAATTAAAAACATTATATTTATTTAAACTTCATTTTTTGGATAAAACATCTGTTGACTATACTTGGCCGTTTCTCGAGGAACCATTATCTCTTGCAAAAGAAAAACATCTTAAAGCCACAAGCGGCCACAAAAAGACTTTAGATAGCAGAACGACTTTAAATAGTTAAAGAAGTGTATCGCTTATATTTCTACAAATATTTTCAAACAAATAATGAAAAACAAAGATGGCAGAGCTTCGGAAAGTAGCAGCCCAACCACAAATAATGAATCCGAACACGTCGACATAGAAGGATGCAACTTTGGACTCACCCCAATCGAACTGCCTTACTTGTGGTACCCGAACCAACAGAGCGTTAACCACCTCGAGTATGTCCGTCGGCTGGAGTGTGAGTTCACTTGCCTTCAACGTGCCTTCCTGGCGCTCACTACACAATTCGCACGATTGCAATTTCGCGTACGCCAAATAGTGCAAGCTGATCCTTGTGAACGAGAATCTCTTCTACTAGATCTCGAACGCCTTGCCTTTAACAGCGAGGGAGAAAATGACGAATTGCCGCCCATTCAGCGCGATGCTATAAATATGGGCGATGTGCGCCGCAAACAAAGTGTCATATTGGAGCGACTGCGCTCGCAACTAAGTGATCTGTCACAAGCTGAAAGCCGGCAGCCAATACCAGAGTTAGATGCCGCACCACCTGAACAAGGCTCTATTGATGAAGTAACATGCTTCTGCCTTAAGAAGAAACGAAAACCACCACCAACCCCAGAAACACCTACTGACCCCAGTACCGCCGTAAGTAGCGCCGAATCAACGCATTCCACATCTAGCAAATCCAAAATCTAAACGTCAGTGGAAAGTGAAAGCGAAGAAGAAAAGTCGAGAAGAACAAATATGAAGTAAAGAATGTCGATCACTGACGAGGAGGCGTTAGCCTATGCGCGCAACGGAACGTTCTCAGTTACAACCCCAACGGCTCCTTTCGCCTTTGCCAGGAAGCGAGTAGTACAAGAAAGCCTAGGCCTTGCGATTGCAAGCCAATGAAGAAGCGAAACGACTGCTAAATAAATCCTTTTCAGAACGGTCCCCTCGTTGCGCTTCTAATCAATAAAAAACTTATTTTTACTATACATGCAAAATATTATTTCAAACAATTTCCCTTAATAGATTTTACTGGTGTGCTTTAGCCGATTCTCACTAAATGTAGTACAATTCAGATTTATATAATTACCATATATTTTTTAATAACCTGAAAGCATTACTTAAATTTGTTTGATATTTTTTGTCAGAATATGGCCCTAATAAAAGTATGATTAGCAAACAAAAATCATGATTGAGTGTACATAGTTTCCGTTTCTGGCCGATCTGTGAAGATATCATCTTGATGGCGAAAAGCTGTAAACATAATATATACACTATTATTAATGTGGAAAAATCTCCGGAACGTGAGATTTTCTGTTATATTACGTTCAAATTAACCCCATTTAAAGGCCGATTCATCGTTTTAGTTCAGAACTTTTCTTCCATGTGGTTGTTGTTGCGTTTCTCTCACAAAGAGAGAAATATACCAACAACCACATAGAAGAAAAAGTCCAGAACTAGAACGATGAATCCGCCAAAGCGAATTTATGTAAGGTGGTACATATGCATAATTCAATAATGAAAGGTTTTGTAAGAAAAACTTTAACTCCCTCTAATTTTATCAATGACACTCCCACCCTACTCCTAATAAAAAAGTGATATTTCTTTTCCAAATTTCTTTGCAAGGCTTAGGAACATTTTAAAATTTTTAGTAATGAAATTTCACTTTTGAAATTTTTAGAAATGTTCGTTCTGCATTCGCTAGCGACAACAAGACAAAACGGGCTACAGAAATTCAGTGTAGGCTAACGAGATGAAATTTCCTTAAATGCCGAATATATAGTTGTATTTGTCGACATTCGTGGATATCTATTGATTCTGTCAGTCGCTGTAAAGCAGTGATTCCAAAAGTGGTCCAGGTGGACCCCCAAGGGTCCACGGGAGACTCGACGGGGGTCTAAGTTGGCGTGAAAAAAATATGGGGGTCCATAAGTTGTAAGTGGGGGTCCACGAAAATGTATCTGGTTTCGATAGTAAAGAACCAAAATGGTTGCTTGATAGCCTATTTATTTAACTTTAATTTTTTTGAGTGGTGTATAGTCCTCCTTATGCACTGTGATGGAGGCCCTCCACTGGACGGGAAGGAGTTCACGTCTTTGCAGTGACAACGAAGCTGCACTTAAGGTATTAGCCACCCTCTATTTAAGTACTTCCAAACTAGTTCGGCAATGCAAGTCTCGGCTAATTTATGGTGGTAAACGTAACGAGCTTGCTTTACTCTGTTTGCCAGATCACTCAGGAGTACCTGGTAATGAGACATCTGACCATTTGGCCAGAATTGGCTCAGACCAGGCATTCCTGGGTCCGAAACCGGTTTTAGCACATCTATTTCGCTCAGCAATGACTGGGAGGCATCGAGGGGATGCAGGTGTGCAAAACTCATGTTGATTTCAATCTCAGAAGGCCTATCTAGTTTTTTGCTCCCACTGAGCAGACGCCACTGCAGACAACTTGTCGGACACTTCACGTGGCATAAACACCCGACTATAATTGGCGTAAATGACACCTACATTTGCCCATCCTGCCTTGAAGAGGATGACACGGTGGAACACTTTTTGCTTGCTTGGTTTGATGGATTTACTAGTGCTATTTTTTAAAACCTGCAAGTGTGTAACCACATTATTCTAATAAATAGAAATAGAAAATAATAGAAAGAAATAATTTTAGTTTTATTATGGCCACTCCGAGTTTATTTTTTAATTCACCCGCGATGCAAATTTAAAAAGTTAGATCTAAACTTCACATTTAATATTTTTACGAGATTCGGGATTCCAAATTCAGACATAGCCGCCCTTTAGTGCTACCGAAAGCGGCTTTGAAGTCGACAAATAGGTGGTGAGTGTCGATCCTTTTTTCGCGGGTCTTTTCCAAGATTTGTCATATTGTAAATACCTGGTCTATGGTGGATTTTCCAGGTCTAAAGCCACACTGATAAGGCCCAATCAGTTCATTGGCGGTTGGCTTCAGTCTTTCACACAACACGTTCGATAAGACCTTGTAACCTATGCTTAGAAGACTGATCCCGCGGTAATTGGCGCGAATGGCGGGGTCGTCTTTCTTGTGGATTGGGCAGAGCACACTTAAATTCCAGTCGTCGGGCATGCGTTCATCTGACCATATTCTGCACAAAAGTTGATGCATGCACCTTATCAACTCCTCGCCGCCGTACTTGAATAGCTCAGCTGTTAGGCTATCAGCTCCAGCAGCTTTGTTGTTTTTCAGCCGTGTTATTGCTATTCGTACCTCGTCATAGTCAGGCGGTGGAACGTCGACTCCGTTATCATCGACTGTGGGCTCGGGTTCTTCTTCTCCACAACTTTCCGTGCTGCTACCATTCACAAATGCGGAAAAGTGTTTCCTCCATAATTTAAGTATGCTCTGAACATCGGTTACTAGGTCGCCATTGTTGTTCTTACAGGAGTACGCCCTGGTCTTGAAACCTTCCGTAAGTCGCCTAACTCTCTGGTACAATTTTCGGCCATTCTTCCTTTTGGCCAGCATTTCAAGTTCTTTGCACTCACGTATTTCGGCCTCTCTCTTCTTATTGCGGCAAATACGTCTTGTTTCCCTCTTCAGATCCCTGTATCGATCCCACATAGCGCGCGTTGCACCCGATCTCAGCGTCGCCCTTTAGGCGGCATATTTTTTCTCTGCAGCTTCTTGACAGCCACGTAGCTTTATGGATCTTTTTATGCTTTTTTCGAGCCCCAGCAAAGTCGACCGCAGATGAACGAGATGTTGAAGAATCTCGCTTTGATGCGGATTGTGGCTAGACGATCGTCCACCGAGGTGAACGGCAGTACTCGGCGACGGAGTCTCTCTCCCCCCACCAATCCTACTCCGGATTTGCGCTCCTTTACGTGACAGCTGTAGCAGACATTGCTTGCCTTACCCCGTGCAATGCATTTCTTGGATGGTGGTGATGTCAGCGTTTGTTCTTACGAGGACATCAACCAGGCGGGCAGAGGCATCTTCCCCATTAAGGTCCGGGCATTCCAGGTGCATGCCCCCAAATCGTAGTCCTTTAAATGTTTACCGTGGTCGTCAACATAAGGGGCTTTACCTTGCCTCTTCACTTGAAGTGGTTTTTACGTGGCGGGTCCCAAACCCAGCGCACAACATTGCTGGGACGGGGGTGGTTTCGCTACTAAATACACGTTAATATAGCGAGCCGCTTGCCCCCAGCAGACACCCGCTTGCAGCCGCACCTACTGGCGAGCCCTTAAACCGAATAAGTCGGAGTGGCCCCACCGAAGCTCCCTCTCTTTCTGCCGAGACCCAAAGCTCCACTCGGATGGGTTACCGCATCTCGCATATGGGTTGCTCACGTTGCCCAGAGTGCGCGAACGAGGACGCAAGAGTAGGTATTGAGTATAGCCATGCAACTGTAACTGCATACGCAGCGCAACGCCTATGCCCCATTGCACTCCATGTCACTTTTTATAATTTGCGTCATTTTCATAGAAAATTTCACGAGTTCTACCTTATTTAATTTTTTTATACCCGAGCGCACTTGTGCACAAGGGTATTATAGCTTTGTTCACACAACGGTTGTTTGTAACAGCCTAAAGGATTCGAGGTAGATATAGACATATGTATATACACATGCTCAGAATGAAAAGAGAAATGGATTAAGCCGTGACTGTCTGTCCGTCCGTCAGTCCGAGTGCATACGCAAACTCGAGTAAAAATTAAGATATGTTAACGAAGGTTTGGTGCATGTACTTCTTTTGAGGAAAGTTGGATGGTATTAAAAATGGGCAAAATCGGCCAATAAACACGCCTACCTCCAATATAACGGTAGTTTGTAGAAATACGAAAACTGCGATATTTTAGTAACCCCTGAAGCTTTTTCACTCAATATTTTTGGAAAATGGGCGTAGCCCCGCCCACTTATGATTACATGCGTATATCTCGACAACTGCTTCACTAAGTTCTCCCAAACTTCGCACAGTTGTTGGTCTTGTTAAAGCTTATCAGACCGCTGAAAATTTTTAAAATCAGACAATAACCACGCTAATATTCCATATAATGGTAATTTAGATCATTAACTACCGAAGCGAGTTATTTCAAAACTTATGTTTGCAATAATTTTTTAGCAAAAAATACGTTTATAATACATTTTTGGAAAATAGGCGTGGCACCGCCCACTTATGACCACGATTGTGTATCTCGATAACCGTTCCATTAATTCGTAATAAACTCAGTACGATTACTGTATTTGCCACATAAAAGCAAGAGATGGAATATTTTTTAAATCGGACTAAAATAACGCCCACTTTTCATATATTGGTAAATTCCAGAAATGCTGAAACTTCGAAATTTGGAAATTTAAGGATGCTTATTTACTCAAAGTTGATACTCACAACAATCCCTTGATAAGCAGTAACATTAAAAACTATCCCTGCTTACCATGAAACGATAGTTTTCGGGAAGTTGAAAAAAAAACTATACATGTATATGGTTTTTGTTAAAGCGCGAACCATATTTTTATAAAAGTATCAAAAAAATTTTAGCTTGATAGACATTGCAAATATTAACGAGCAAAAAAGTATAAGTTCGGGCGAAACCAAACTTTGTATACCCGGCGCTCCTATTAAATACCGTTTTCTCACCTTTCAGTAAACTGCATGATAAGCAAGAGTATATTTCCCCGATGTCAAACAGTTTCGATAATATGCTATGATATATTGAAATACTTGGACCAAGTTTGGTGGAAGTAGGTAAGGCGGTTATCGATATACACTTATAAAAGTGCTTTCCAACCGGTAGTTCACGGGCGCCTGGTAGATCGCGACCTGTATTTTAGGCGACCCCAAACAAAAAGATGGACATAAGAATACTCTGTATTGCAATACGCAATTTCCGGTTGTAAATGCGAAATTGATCATTGAAAATGCAAA